AGAACATCTAAGGTAAATCAACAATGACTAGTCACTGGGCAACTGACAGACTCACTTGATTTTAAAGACTAAACTTCAGGAGCAGAGGGAAAAGCTAGGTGAGCCATGGCAGACCATCCCCCAACCATCACATCTTCAGCTAGCCTGGGTGTTTATCTGCATTTTTATCTTCCTGGCTGTCTTCCAAGTCTTGACCCTTAATACTCAAAATATAGTTCAGGTAGGCAAGTTTTTCTATAAAGAGTCAAATATAAATATTTTAGACAGCGTGGACTAACAGTCCCTGTTGTAGCACGAGAGCAGTGATGTGTGCCGATACAACTTTGCTCACATAAACAGGGATGAGGCCCTACTGTGGTCCTGGGGCCGCAGTTACTTCTAGGAGTTTGCTGGCTTGAGGTCAGCAATGCCTAGGTTCTGTTAGACCACCTAGGAGCTTATTAGAAACTCAGAGTCTCAGCAGCCACACCAGAGCTCCTGACAGCAACTTCTAGATGGGTTCTTCTCACTTGGAGCCCTGCAAGACGCTGGACACCCCACCCCAACCCGCCACCTCCACTGAACCAGGCTGAGCCCACCTTGCTTTCCTGAACCTCAGCCTTCAGCTGACTCTCTCTAGCCTTCAAAAACTCATTCTCCACAAACTCACCCAAGGGATCTTAAAATACAAATTGGGCCAAGTCTCTTGCCAAATGAAACCTTTCAGTGGCCTCTTAATTAGCAGTTGCCAGACTTAACAAAAACAAACAAAAACCAAGTTGCCCAGTAAGTAGCCCAGTCAAATTTGAACTTTAAATATTGAATAAAAGTTCAATATAAGTATATAGTAAGCATATTTTCTGTAGCTGTGCCTTGTGTGGTATTTGGGACATACTTACCCTAAGAAATTATTCACTGATTACCTGACTTTCAAATATAATTGTATGTTTGTGGGTTACCTAGCAAACCTTCACCTAAAATTCTGTAAATATGAGCCAAATTCCTGACTACAATAAGTCCTGCTCGATTCCTGCTGGCACCACCAGTCTTACTTCACTGGCCTCATGGTACAGAACCCTCACCAGCTAAATCTTTCTGCCAACCCCCTGGAAAAGCTGCGCCTTCTTCCTGGAAGCCCACTTTTCTCTTCCTGAAGACCAATATCTGCTCTGTACAGCATTCCCCTGCAGGCGTGGGTACCTGCAAGCCCTTCTACCGTCCTCCAGCCCAGTATACATCTAGATGCGAGCCCAGTCCCTTAGAGCCCTTTCTACAATCTACAAGTTAGCACTTACTTAGGAGGCCCTTTATTATTTGCCTTTCCCTACCAGGAAGTCAGCGTGAAGTGCGCAGAGACCGCTGTGTTCCCCATCTCATCTGCAGCATCACACACAGCCTGGTCCATCACAGGCTGGAATAAACGTTGGATGAGCCAAGAGTGCATCATCTTATGCAGAAATCAGAAAGACAGTTTCAGTTCGTTTTGAGCAAGGACATGGCAGAGGGAAATGCTAAATCTAAGCCAGTTTGGCAAGGCTTCTGGTGGCAAGTGATGGGATCCAGCTTGTGTTTTAAGACCACATTGGCAGCTTTACAGAGAGTGGTTTGGAGAGCAGCGATAGCTAATGAAGGTAGCTATGAAAGGACACATCAAAGCAGCTGATTTAGGGTAGGACTGGAGGAGAAAGGTGCTGCATGTCCAAGAGAAGGCAAAAGGCTTCAGTATTAATGAAACTTAAAAAGGAAGATGGCAGAAGTAAGAACTGCATCACTAAGGTGGGAGAGGGAAGGTAACTGGAGGTGGGGTGTAGCCGTGGTAGAGCGCTTGCCTAACTGGGGCTGTAGCTCAGTGGTAGAACGTTTGCTTCAGTGCGGGTATAAAAGTGGTTTCCCTAGCCCTGGGTGTAGCTGTGGTAGGTAGAGTGCTTGCCTAGCTGAGGATGTAGCCCAGTGGTAAAGTGCTCGCCTGGCTGGGGATGTGGCCCAGTGGCAGCTAGAGTGCTTGCCTAGTATTCACACGTCCCTGGGTTGAACGGCAAGTACTGTGGGGGGGGGGGGGATTAAAATTTTCATTTAACTTTAGGGATGTCCTTTTTCTTATAAAATAAGGACCTTGTGTTCTCAGACTTTTTAGGGCTGTAACAAAACACCCAAGAAGACAGCTAAAGAAGGGAAGGATTCATTTTGGCTCACGGTTTCAGAGATCCCTATCTATTTGGCTCCACTGCCTTCGGGCCTGTAGTGCAGCAGAACATGATGATAGAAAGGCATGGTGAGAGGTGAAGGGAGGGTTGCTCACCTTGCCGGGAGGAGGAGGAGGAGGAGGAGGAGGAGGAGGAGAAGAAGAAGAAGAAGAAGAAGAAGAAGAAGAAGAAGAAGAAGAAGAAGAAGAAGAAGAAGAAGAAGAAGAAGAAGGCAGGAGTAACATAGAAGAAGGAAGAGGAAAGAGAAGCAGACTTAGAATGGGGGGGGGGGGGGAAAGTAGGGAGGCCCAGGGCTGGCCCTTCATGACTAAGGAAACAAGTCAGGAACTGAACAAGGAAATACACAGCTGAAAATGTAGCTGGGTTGGGTTTGTAGAGAACACTGACTGACTCAATAAAGAGTTGAACTTGCTGAGTTTGGACAGAGGCGACATCATGGAGCTACTTAGGGGGGAAAGAATATAATCGTGGTATATTGTAGAAAAGATCAATCAACTAACTAACTAATTTAATATAAATAAAAAATAGAGCGTAGGAAGTGCAAAAGAGAGGAGGGGCAGAGCCACCCTGAGCACTTACTTGCCTGTGTGTGCAAAGCTGCAGACAAGGGCTGCAGCAAGAATGAAGAGGGAGGCATGGAAATGGTTCCTAGATTTGGTTGTGAAAGACAGGGCCTCAGAAAGCACATGGCAACCCCTCCCAACAGCTCTGGGACCTCTGGGGTCCTCTCAAGATGCTGGAGTTCAAATAAGAGAAAGGATTCTGCCTTTCCCTCTCCTTTTCTTTCTTGCCTTCTTTCACTTTCAAGGGAGGCTGGCTGAGTCACAGTTCTAACTAGGTCATTGCTGCTGAACAAAATGAGCCCTCACCGCTTCTGTTCCGTCACCTCTCGCGCTTAAAAGCATTTACTCGGTGAGCTTAAGCTGTCCGCGCAACACGCTGTCGCTCTTATTTCCTTTATCCCCAAGTCGATTTAATCCTGGCACTTCATAAAATGTGTGTATCCATTAAAGCAGGAAGACTCTATTCATGTTGGAGAGAAACCCCTGAAAGGGTGAAAGAAACCAGGGAAGCAGGGAAGCAGGCCCAGATCTGGCAGCGCAGAAGCACAGCTGTGCAGGTTCGGTGCAAGACTTCAGGGGACAAGCGCCCCACCCCCAAATAAGTTTCTAATCAAATGCCAGAATGAAGCATTGAAACTTGCCAAAATCCAACACCCCCCCCCCCCCAGTCCGTTCCCCGGCTGCCTTAACTGTTTAAATCATTCCTTTTTATTGCCTCTGACTAGGCTGAGAACAATAGTGGAAATGCCCACTGATGGATGACTCTGGCAACTTTGGGAGTTATCGCATAAAATGAAATGTTGAGCGACATTCCTTTCTCTGTGGGATTCACAGTCGCGCTCCTCCTCACGGTCAGCAGCCCACCCTCCAGTCCATCCTTGCCGTGCCAATCCCTCCGAGGGTGACCACACCCACAAACCCCTGTCGCGGTTGCTGAGACAGTGTGGTGTGTTGATTGCTTTGTGTTTTCAAAGGTTAAAAGTAGGGACAGACAGCTTCAGAACATCATGTATATTTGTATAATTCTTTCCTACCTTCTCCCTTCTTCATTAGGAAAACTCAAGGCAATGGGCTTTGCTCAGACCTCCGAATAGCAGCAAAACAACACACTGGAGTCTGGAGTCCCTACAGACTTTACGCCTACAGCCCCCGCAGATTTTTACTGGCTTTCTGGGAGGAAGTGAGCTAGGTGTGAGGAGATGACTAAGACAGTAATTGGCAAACATCTCAGATTCAGCGATCACGGTTATCAGATGGGAAGCGTTTTGGAGGCATAGAGAGTTCTGAAAAAAATCCCCACGGTTGCCCACTCAGAAAGTGGGGATTTTAGTGGATTGTTCATTCAGAGCAGATTAAAAGCAGTAGATGGTGATGGAAGGCCGGTTAGGGAAAACTGCAGATGACCACGTCTCATAAGGAAAATGAGCTGCAGAAAGTGAAAGAAAGGAGCCAAAATTATTCATTTACCACACAGAGTTCTCCTTTCTTTTTTGTCCTCCATCTCCTTCCTTCTTTCCTCCCTCCCTCCCTCCCTTCCTCCCTCCCTTCCACAGACTTGCTGTGTAACCCAAGCTGACCTGGAACTCATGATCTTCCTGGCTCTGTTTCCCAGGGGCTCTGCTTAGGTGTGCACCACCACACCTTGAACATAAGCCTTTCTGGACTGCCTTTTCCTGTCAGCCAGTGTTCTTTGCTTACCAGAGAAAATGTTCTACTATTTGTCTCTCAACCCTTGAGTTCAATCCTGGTGCATGAAAAGGAAAGGATCGGTTTCCTTAGATACCAACACAAATGCTTCCAAGGTTGGGACAATTACATCTTTTATACCTTGGGCCTTCATACACACTGTATCATCCCACGGCAGAGTGGAAAACAAGAAACAGAGAGGGATAAGAGACTGATAGCAGATTATAACAATCTGCTATTAAGACAGCTAATCCATTCTTGCAATGATGGCCGTACTTTATTCTTGAGGGAATAACACATGATTGTATCATCTTTTATTGGGCCCCACCTTAGCATTTGCTGGTGATTAATTTTCAGATGCAGGAATCCTGGAGAATACATTCAAAACACAGTAGAATCCTATGTGTGGTCTTAGACTGAAGACACAAATTACAAAGGCCCTATTAGGGACAACTGGAAACATTTGAATATGTAGTTGACTTTATATGATATTAAAAATTTATCATTTTTGTTAGATGTGAGATTTTGGTTACATAAAATAGAGAATGCTACTGTAATTTCAATATTTTTTACAACACACATACATTTAAATTCTTTAAAGTTAAATACACACCAAAACTTTAAAAAAAGGCCAGGGTTGGGGTATGGTTTTCTGGGAGATCACTTGCTTACCTTGTGTGTTTTGGGGGAAAAAAAGGAAGGAAGGGGTATAGAAGGAAAATCTTTAGGTTTTCTGTTTTCAAACATGATTTGATACATTTAAAATACAAATTAACTATATAAAATGTGTTAGTAAATATATCAGGCTAAGACAGGAACACTTGCCTGATATGCAGGAGGTCCGGCATTCAACCTCAGCCTTGCAAAAAAAAACACAAAAAACAAAAAACATGATGCATGTACTTTTATGAATGTAAAGTACTTACATATATGAGAAATACAGGCAAACCAGCCAGGAAGTCAGTGCAGAGCTCACAGTGATGGCCTCTTCCAGCAGCAAGTGGGGAGAGGAGAGCTGAAATGGGAGGTGACAGTTTTCTTTAAAACTGTTCAAACTTAGCAAAGTACCTTATGATCAGTACACATGCAAGCCCCACTTCCTACCTACAGTCTTAGAACTGGGGTTAATTTTTTCAAAGATGACTTCTATATTACATAGTTTTTAGATGGAAGAGGAAGGGGGAAAGAGAGAGAGAGAGACAGACAGACAGACAGACCATTCTTTTCAGGGCTCCCTAATTAGACAAGAATGCATACCAACATATTTTGGAAAGAAATTTTTGTTTACATAATTGAACCAAAAAGGGATTGTGAACAAGGAAATTCAATTAACCACAGCATTCTCTAAGCACCCTGGTTAGCTAATAGGCTTGGTTAAGCCTCAGTCAAACTGAAAATACATGTCCAAGTTAAGTGCTATGAATCAAGAGCAAAGGTCATAGCAAGCCATGTTCAAAATGCTAAACAGATTCCTGGCAGCGGGAGTCTTAGAGGACATAGTGGACTGAGCCCCACACATGACGTCAACGTCCAGTGGTGTAGAGAGAATACAAGGGCTTTGAGAGAAGATAATACAACCTTTCATCTTGATGATAAAATTAATACTCTTTTTCTTTTCAAGAGAGGGTTTCTCTGTGTAACAGTCCTGGTAATCACTTTGTAGATCAGGCTAGCCTCAAACTCACAGAGACCTGCCTGCATCTGCCTCCCAGATGAAAATTAATATTCGTAATAAGTAGGTTTAATAAGAATGTGATACCTAAGAGAAAAGCTCTTCCAGACAGGCATTTCTACACATTTGACATGGATTGTAAAATACAACTTTCCCAGTTTTCTTGTATGGGGAGATAGCTTGTTAATGTTTTTCATTTATTAAATCTCCTATGTATCAGATATAAATAAGAAATGTATGCTTTGATCTGATATTACAGTTACTTAATCAAGGATTAATGAAAGATCAGGAATCTGGGACATGTGCCCACACACATTGACACAAAAAATAAATAAGTACAAAAAATTTAAAGCATAAAATAAAACCTCATTACTTTTAAGGAAAATTCTTCCCACTTAGTGACTGCAATAGTATATTACCATAGTCATAATTTTGTGGGCATTATTTACTTACTAATACCAATCCAATCAGTTGGTTTATTTTAATTTATTGATTAAAAACTAACAGTCCCTAATCTTTTTTAAAAAAAAATAATTGTTGCTTCTGCGTGCAGGCAATACAGTAGGGTCTGGGAATACATCAGTGAACAAGACAAACACAGTCCCCTACTACATGAAATTTAGAGTCTAGTGGGCAAAGAAGCTCTCTAACAAGAAATGGAATAAAACATAATTTGTATCTTAGGGGAAGTCGATGAATACCTTGTGAGCGTGCAGCAAGGGATCTGACGTGTCAGTAAAAGCCCACAGCAGGCCCCTCAAAGCTCTTTCAACTACCCCCCCCACCCCCACCCCAGCTCTCTTTCTTTAGGGTTGAAAATTTAAGGGTAGGTACAGCGGAGATTTGAGTGACTAGATGGGAACAGGGCTGTCACAGTTAAGTGTATGTTATCTGCTGAGTTCCATTAATGATGTAGCTTATGTCGGCCGGCTTTCCTGCAGGTGAGCTTGGGATCCCAAAGATGGGAGACAGGGGGACATGGACTACTGAGATGTCATAATTTTGTGGATAGTCGCTTCAAACAGGCATCAAGGTCTGACCTGAGCCTGCTACTAACCTGAATATAGACGATAAAATTGCAACGCCAAGTAATCCCATGGCGATGTTAAAATGAATCTGGGAGACTTCCGTTTCCCCCAATGGTTTGGGCTTTCAGGATGAGAAGGATCTACTGAGCACATGATGAAATTCTAACTGTAAACAAAACTTGGCATTGTCTTGTGATCCACGCTTTTTATTTATTTATTTAATCATATTCTGAAATGCTTTCCTTTTTGTCTTTTTTTCCCTCCAGAATGTCCTCATTGTTGAGGTAAGCTGACCATTCCTTTTCGATATCGGAAGAGTATAAAGGAGAGTTTCAAAATGTTGGCCTTGTTTATCAAATCGACCAAGT